CTGGTGGTAAGGTAGAGCTGGTTATAATGACAGTCTAGGAGCTTGTCTTGTTCAGTCATATCCCTTTGATACTGGAAGCATGCATTCCACTGGGATTCCATGTTTAACTTTCAGTCTTGTGGAGCTTCTGACAGCTTGGTGGTGAGGGAATTTATTTGTTTAGTATGTGTATCTATAGTTGAATGTAGGTTCTTTAGACGAGTTTATTAATGATGTCAGTTTGTTTTCCAGTTCACTAATTGTTGAGTTTTGTGTCGTAAGATGACATTCAAGGTCTTTAATTCTCGTGTTTTGGGTATGTAGAGAGCGCTCTAGGTCTCCAATGAGTTTTACATAGGTTTCGTTTTGTCGTCTTAGCATACTATTTTCCTGTAGAATTTTATCAATGGAGTCGGGTCGTTGTTGAGGACTGAATTCCTGGGCTATTCCTGTGGGTGTTAATATATTTATAGATGGGTTTGTAAAAGAAGTAAATGCTAGGGTGTTGGGGAGAGGGGTGGGATTAAATTATGGGGAATCAAATACAAAATGGGAATTGACAGTTATTTTTTGCTGATGATACTGTGCTTATGGGAGATTCTAAAGAAAAGTTACAATGGTTATTGGATGAGTTTGGGAGTGTGTGTTAAGGTGGAAAGTTTAAAATGAACATGGAAAAGAGTACAGTGATGAGGGTATCAAATGTAGATGAATGGTTCAGAGAACCGACATGTTGATAAATTAGACACATGTGCAACTCTTGGGTATCTTTATTCAGGAAACGTTTTGCCACACAGTGGCTTCATCAGTCCATACAAAGGAGAATATTGAAGAACAGGAGGATAATGAGGTAATCAGTCCCTCAACCTTGAGTCGATGTGGTCAGTCCATCAATCTTGAATAGAATACAGCATACGTGCTGAGAAGGAGCTTATAAACCGTTGGCAGGAGAGGTGCAGCAGTCATAGGTGGTGTAACATTTGTTCAGTGTTGAAGTAGGTCGTGCCCAAGAATTAGGCAAGCGAAGAATTCCCAAGTATTAAGATCCCAAGAAGTTGCAGTGTCTGACAGGTTTGTAGATGAATGGTTCAGAGAACCGACATGTTGATAAATTAGACACATGTGCAACTCTTGGGTATCTTTATTGAGGAAACGTTTTGCCACACAGTGGCTTCATCAGTCCATACAAAGGAGAATCTTGAAGAACAGGAGGAGAATGAGGTAATCAGTCCCTCAACCTTGAGTCAATGTGGTCAGTCCATCAATCTTGAATAGAATACGGCATACGTGCTGAGAAGGAGCTTATAAACCGTTGGCAGGAGAGGTGCAGCAGTCATAGGTGGTGTAACATTTGTTCAATGTTGAAGTAGGTCGTGCCCAAGAATTAGGCAAGCGAAGAATTCGCCACTGTGTGGCGAAACGTTTCCTCAATAAAGATACCCAAGAGTTGCACATGTGTCTAATTTATCAACATGTCGGTTCTCTGAACCATTCATCTACAAACCTGTCAGACACTGCAACTTCTTGGGATCTTAATACTTGGGAATTCTTCGCTTGCCTAATTCTTGGGCACGACCTACTTCAACATTGAACAAATGTTACACCACCTACGACTGCTGCACCTCTCCTGCCAACGGTTTATAAGCTCCTTCTCAGCACGTATGCCGTATTCTATTCAAGATTGATGGACTGACCACATTGACTCAAGGTTGAGGGACTGATTACCTCATTCTCCTCCTGTTCTTCAAGATTCTCCTTTGTATGGACTGATGAAGCCACTGTGTGGCGAAACGTTTCCTCAATAAAGATACCCAAGAGTTGCACATGTGTCTAATTTATCAACAGGGTATCAAATAATTTAGATAAAGAAAAATTGGATATCAAATTGGAGAGAAGGAGTATGGAAGAAGTGAATGTTTTCAGATATTTGGGAGTTGATGTGTCAGCAGATGGATGTTTGAAGGATGAGGTTAACCATAGAATTTATGAAGGAAAAAAGGTGAGTGGTGCATTGAGTTATATGTGGAGACAAAAAACATTGTCTATGGAGGCAAAGAAGGGAATGTACGAAAGTATAGTGGTAACACTCTTATATGGGTGTGAAGCTTGGGTTGTAAATGCTGCAGTGAGGAGGCGGTTGGAGGCAGTGGAGATGTCCTGTCTAAGAGCAATGTGTGGTGTAAATATTATCCAGAGAATTCAGAGTGTGGAAATTAGGAGAAGGTGTGGAGTTAATAAAAGTATAAGTCAGAGGGCTGAAGAGGGGTTGTTGAGGTGGTTTGGTTATTTAGAGAGACTGGATCAAAGTAGAATGACATGGAGAGCATATAAATCTGTAAGGGAAAGAAGGCAGGGTAGGGGTCGTCTTTGAAAAGGTTGGAGGGATGGGGTAAAGGAGGTTTTGTGGGTGAGGGGCCTTGGACTTTCAGCAAGCGTGCGTGAGCGTGTTAGATAGGAGTAAATGTAGATGAATGGTATTTGGGACCTGACGATATGTTGGAGTGTGAGCAGGGTAATATTTATTGAAGGGATTCATGGAAACTGGTTATTTTTATTTAGCCAGACTTGAGTACTGGAAGTGGGAAGTACAATGCCTGCACTTTATAGGAGGGGTTTTGCATATTGGCAGTTTGGAGGGGTATATGTTGTATATGCCTCTAAACTGTTGTATCTGGGTGCTTCTGCAAAGACAACGATTATGTGTGAGTGAGGTGAAAGTGTTGAATGATAAAAGTATTTTCTGTCTTTTTGGGTCACCCTGCCTCGGTGGGAGACGGCCGACTTGTTAAAAAAAAAAATGCACATGCCCACGTACGTACGTATGTTTTTTTTTTTTTTTTCAACGAGTCGGCTGTCTCCCACCAAGGCAGGGTGACCCAAAAAGAAAGAAAATCCCCAAAAAGAAAATACTTTCATCATCATTCAACACTTTCACCTCACTCATACATAATCACTGTTTTTGCAGAGGTGCCCAGGGTACAACAGTTTAGAAGTATATACGTATAAAAATACACAATATATCCCTCCAAACTGCCAATATCTCAAACCCCTCCTTTAGAGTGCAGGCATTGTACTTCCCATTTCCAGGACTCAAGTCCGACTATATGAAAATAACCGGTTTCCCTGAATCCCTTCACTAAATATTACCCTGCTCACACTCCAACAGATCGTCAGGTATGTGTGTACTATAAAAAAATATACTGTATATACTGTGACTCACAAAATCATAATAACACAATTGCAAACAAATCACAGACCAGGTGGGGTTTAAACCTCCACCCATTGTGTGATTTAATAACTTGTTAGTTTAAATCATTTTCTTATTTTATCCATTATAAATACATTAGAATTTTTTTCTTCTTCAGATGGCTTAGAATACTCTAGTTATAAAAATTTGATTTAAAAAGAAGAGAATAACATAACAAATAAAAAACTGAAGACTAAGGTAATTGGTTAAGTTATCATAGTTAAGCCTTGATATATGTTATTTAACTGTTAGGGAAATTTATAGATGGGAGTGTGGAGAAATTATAATAGTACAAACCACAGTATGGATGGGGTTAGAACCCATAGCAAGTGAGTTGTAAAACTCCAGGCTTGTGCGTAAGCTACTGGGCCAGCTGGCCTGGAGTTTTATGCCTCACTTGCGATGGGTTTTAACTCCATCCGTACCATGGTTTGTTTGCAATTGCATCATTACAATTTCATGAGTTATAATACAGTACATTTTTTCCCACATTGTTCATGATTTTCTTACAGTTAAATTACTTAGCAGTTTAAACTCTTAAGCTTTAAATAAATAAATAATAATAATTAATTAAGCCTTTCAGGGTCGCCAGGCCCTCTCCGAGACTTGTTCTCAGGGTTGCCAAATTTTCAAAAAAAAAAAAAAAAATTCTTATGAAAAGATAGAGAATATTTTCCCGATCATAATGACACCAAAAGTATGAAATTTGATGGAAAACTTACATAATTATGCTCTCGCGAAATTAGCGGTCTCGACGATGTTTACACATCGGCGATTTTGCCCACTTTGAGCCCTATTTTCGACCAATTCCAGTGTACTGGTCGACAAAAATCATAACTATTTCACTAGAACTCCATTTTTTCTATCGAATGAGTACAAGAAACCACTCATTTACTGATTTCAACTATCCAATAAAGTGGTCAGAATTTAGCAATTTTGCCAATTTCACACAAATTTCAAAAGATGCCAATTTCTAAATAGGGTCCAGAATAAACAAGAAAGACATTCCTGGCACTAAAATAACATTTCCTCTGTTCATTATTCACGTCCCCACGCCCCTCTTACATTCTTTTGCTTTCCACTTCGAATTTTTATTCTCACCAAAAAATAGAAGATTTACTGTTATGCGGACTACTGCATTGGTATAGAAATGGTATAAATAATATCAGCGCACGTGTGAAAGAATATTAGACTCCCCAGTTGATGTATATTGGACGCGTAGCATGATTTGTTTACTTTTGAACTTTGGCAAAAATCGAAGATTTCTGCTACTTTGAGCTCAATTTCAAGGTACTTTTCATTGTAAAACCGGTCAAAATCATCTCTATTTCAGTAATATGTCTTCCATTCTATAAAATGAGACCAGGAAAACCTGAATACCATCATAAATACCATACAAAAATACAGTGCAAAGTTGCTGTTTTAAACCAAAAACACTGTCAGTTTTTTTTTTTCTCATTACGCACTGTGTGCTGCAGAATTTTTTTTATACTGTGCACACTGACCACATAGACCCATTCTTTCATATGTAGGCCTACCAGCTTTCTCTCACTAGATTTGAGGGCGCTAGAATTTAGGTGTACTAGTACGTCAAAAACCCTGGTGCGTAAGCCGTACTAGTATACATCCAAAACATTTGCAATCAGTCATTTAACAAAAGTGCAAGGACATTGCAATTTGCATTATTGACTTGAGTTTTAATTATTTTCAGATTAATTTCTTTAATGCTTAATTGAAAATCAGTTCTGGAATGAGTTTATATTTCATTCAACAGATCGAAGATGCTGCGGAAGAGAGTGTACGTGAACACAGCTGCAGTATAGTGTCATCCAATAGTACTGGTAGCCAGGTTGCTCCAGAAGAAAATGGACAACAAGAGTCTCATCATCAAGAAGAACATGACTCGGAGCTTGGGTCTCTCTCCCATCAAGATCCTTCTCAGCAACAGAATCCTCGTCCATTCCTTGTTAGCGATGTAACTGACTCCACAATGGTAGGAGAATTTAGCATATTCTGACCTGAGTATTTACTGTTTTTGTGGGGTCATTTGTGTGTGCTATCCATAGTGAAATATAGCTATATGAAGGAAGTACATTTACAGTGTATCATATACTGTAGAAGTGTTAATACTGTACAGGTATATTTCATTTATTATAATATATATGTTGTATCTGGGCGCCTATGCAAAAACAGTGATTATGTGTGAGTGCGGTGAAAGTGTTGAATGATGATGAAAGTATTTTAGTTTTGGGGATTTTTTCTGTCTTTTTGGGTCACCCTGCCTAGGTGGGAGACGGCTAACTTGTTGAAAAAAAAAATTATTAACCCTTAAATTGTCCAAACGTAGATCTACATTTGCACGCGTAGTGCTCCGAACGTAGGTCATTGTTTTATTTTTCATTCCTTCAAATTTGGCACGATAAGCCTGAGTCTCCTAGACACAAGAGAATGGGTCTGCGCCCTAAGTGCGCGCAGAGTGAAAAAATTCGCTGATGCTGGGGTACCGCGTGGTAGCACCAGTTAGTTTCAGCTCCATCTTGTGTTAACATCATAGCAAACCCCCGTGATTCACTCACGCCTCTGCGTATTAACTCTACTATTCTTGGAAAGTGTAACAGAATGCGAGGTTAGTGAATTTGACACCGATATAGTCATTGATGTTCAAAGAATTAGTGAAACTGTTGATGATAACCCAGATGACCCTCGACCCATCACCTCTGGGGTGGCCAGTGTGGATAGTGTGGCCATACCAGACCCTCAGCCAAGTACCTCTGGGGTTGCTAGTGTTACTACCCAAAGGCAACTCTGCAAGAGGAAATTGTCATTTTCCAAGCGTTATGGTGATGACGATAGTGAAAGTGACATAAGTGACGATGATGAAATCAATTTTATGCCCATAAGGATTCGTCTAGTCACAGTGATTATCATTATTCCCTAGTGAAACATGCTTTTAGGCGTCGTAACCTACGTTCAGGCAGTGTGCCATATGTAGTCGGTGGCAAGGGTTGTGGCAGGTCACGATCCAAAACCCCAGCTAGTGATAGTGATCTTAAAGGTGAATATGCTGGGATGGAGGAAGAGGAGGTTGGTGGCATGGTGCCTGGACCTCGTGGTGCAGTGGGTGGGCAGACAAAGGACCTCCCGGCACCCTCTCAACCATGTGCTGCCTCCACTCCCGTCCTCCCTCCTGCTCCCCCATGCCACAGGTCTACCCTGCACCATCTGATAGTGAATGGAAATGGACAGAAAGTACACCATTCATGCCACATCCTTTCAGTTTTGATGCCTGTGGAAGTGGTATCATGCCACACTGTCCCATCACAAATGAGTCTACAGAGTTAGACTATTTTTAACTATACTTTGATGAACTGATAATGAATCTGATTGTTACCCAGACCAACATGTACTACCAGTATACAATGGACCACATAGATGTTTCAAAATCATCACGGCTGCACAGGTGGAAAGATACAGCTGTGGCTGAAATGTATTTATTCCTTGGCACAATCATGCTTATGCCACACACCTATAAGAACAATATAGCACACTACTGGTCCACAGACCACTTCATCAGTACTCCAGTCTTCCGTGACCACCTCCCCTGCAACAGATTCACTCTTGCTATGAATGTTGCACTTCTCAGACAGGAATACTCCAAACCAAAATGACCTATACAAAATCATGGAATTGTTTATGTATCTGAAGCAAAAATTCAGTGCCTACTTTTATCCATTCAAGAATATTGTTGTTGATGAGTCCTTGATTCTGTTCAAGGGACGACTGTCATTCAAACAATATACACCAAGGAAACGTAATTGCTTTGGTATAAAACACTTTGTTATGTGTGACTGTGAGACTGGTCTTGTGTTGGATGTCATTATCTACACAGGGAAAAACACACTCGACGATACCAGGCGCATGTTGGGCATTTCTGGTGATGTTCGCAAGATGATGCAGCCATACCTTGGCAAGGGTCATACATTGTTCACAGACAACTGGTATACAAGCCTTATGCTTGCTGATTTCCTACATGTGAACAATACTGATATATGTGGAACAGTGAGGAAAAAGTAGAAAACACATGCCAAGGTTCACTGGAGGAAGTGTAGTGCAAGCGTTTCATGCCAATGACATCATGGCACTGATGTGGCATGACAAACGGGATGTGACATTGCTGTCAACCATCCACAGAAATGAGATAGTGCAGACAGACAGACGGAGCAAGCACAACAATGAACCTATTGTAAAGCCAGCTGCTGTCATCGACTATATGGCCATTATGCGACTAGTCGACAAGTGTGACATGATGATAGGCTTTGTTGACTGTGTGTGTAGTAGTTGCAAGTGGTATATAAAAGTGTTTTTCCACCTTGTAGACATTGCAATGCTCAGTGCCTTCAACATGTATGAAATAAAGACAGGGAAGCGACAACGATATGCAGAATTCACCCTCAATGTTATCAAGCAGATAGTGAAAAAGTATGGTACCACACCTATACCTGTCACTCCACAGTGACCTGTCACCCCACAGCAACGACCTGTCACTCCACAAGAAGAGGGGGAAGTGCATAACCGAATAATCCCTAACTGTCACTGCCTGATACCATTACCATCTACTCCAAAGAAGAAGTACTCTCAGAAAAAGTGTGTTGTGTGTGCTTACACTACATAGCGACCCCAAGTGTGAAAAGACACACGATACATGTGTCAGCAATGTGGGGTGGCACTCTGTATGAATCCTTGCTTCTTGGAGTATCATACAGTGGTGGACTTTTAGAAACATAAATGAGACCTGGAAATACCTTGTATATATATGTAAAAAATAGTATGTGATTGAACCAGGTGTACAAATTCATCTATCAGTGTGAGTATGTTTGTTTGTGACAGTGTGATTACTAATTCAGTACCAAATATTTGTGTCTCAACAACAATTGGCTGTGAAATCAAAAGATCTGCAACAAAACATTATTATTATAACATGAAAACAACAAAAGATAGAAAAGAATTGAAAAAAAAATGATAAATGTTTATTGTTTCTGCAAGCGGCAGTGCTCCATGTTGCTGACACCTCATTATTTACCAAGAACTTTGCGGGCTTATCTCAGTAAGTACTGACCCTAAAATTTTTTTTTGTCCTATAACATTTCTAAAAATGTGCTCTTCATTTAAAAAAAAAAAAAAAAAATTTTTTCAAAATATTCAGAGCACTGCACGAGTGAATGTAGATCTATGTTTGGACAGTTTAAGGGTTAAAAATGAATAATGTGGAAAGAAGAAGAATTTTTTTTTTTTTTACAGTTTTTCAGTATCGCCATACCATTTGCAACCAGTATCAGTCTTTGCATAAAGGTAAAGGGGACAAAAGAGAGTGTAAAAATTATAGGGGAATAAGTCTGTTGAGTATACCTGGTAAAGTGTGTGGTAGAATTATTACTGAAAGAATTAAGAGTAAGATGGAGAGCAGGATAGCAGATGAACAAGGAGGCTTTAGGAAGGGTAGGGGGTGTGTAGACCAAGTGTTTACAGTGAAACATGTAAGTGAATAGTATTTAGATAAGGATAAAGAAGTTTTTGTGGTATTTATGGATTCAGAAAAAGTGTATGATAGGGGGGCAGTGTGGCAAATGTTGCAGATGTATGGAATTGGAGGTAGGTTATTGAAAGCAATGAAGAGTTTTTATGAGGATAGTGAGGCTCGGGCTAGAGTATGGGGGAAAGAGGGAGATTATTTCCCAGTAAAAGTAGGCCTTAGACAGGGATGTGTGATGTCACCATGGTTGTTCAATATATTTATAATAAGTGCATGTACAAGGTATACAAGCTTAGCAGACATCCATGACATACTACTATATAGAAAGCCACTTGTTATGCAGAGCATTTCGGGCAAATTAAGTCAATTTTGTCCCAGGATGCAATCCACACCAGTCTTCTAACACCCAGGTACCCATTTTATACTGATGGGTGAACATGGATAACAAGGTGTCTTAAGGAAACATGTCCTAATGTTTTCCGGCCATACCAGGGATTTGATCTCTGTACCTCAGTGTGTGAGCTAAGTACACTAGCGATCGAGCTACAGGACACCATATAGATGGAGTTGTAAGAGAAGTGAATGCTCGGGTGTTGGCCAGAGATGTGGGGTTAAAAGATAAAGAATCTAACACAAAGTGGGAGTTGTCACAGTTGCTCTTTGCTGATGACACAGTGCTTTTGGGAGATTCTGAAGAGAAGTTGAAAAAGTTGGTTTATAAGTTTGGTAGGGTATGTATAACAAGGAAATTAAAAGTGAATATAGGAAAGAGTAAGGTGAGTATAACAACAAAAAATAGATAACGAAAAATTGGATATCAGATTGGAGGGAGAGCACATGGAGGAGGTGAATGTTTTCAGATATTTGGAGGTGGACGTATCAGCAGATGGGTTTGTGAAAGATGAGGTGAATCACAGAATTGACAAGGGGAAAAAGGAGAGTGGTGCACTGAGGAGTCTGTGAAGACAAAGAATTTGATCCATGGAAGCAAAGAGACGTAGTATGAGAGTATAGATATACCAATGCTCTTATATGGGTGTGAAGCATGGGTGGTGAATGTTGCAACAAGGAGAAGGCTGGAGGCAGTGGAGATATCATGTCTGAGGGCAATGTGTGGTGTGCATATAATGCAAAAAGTCCGTGGTTTGGAGATTAGGAGGGGGTGCAGGATTACCAAATCTTTTATCCAGAGGGCTGAGGAGAGGTTATTGAGGTGATTTGGACATGTAGAGAGGATGGAATGAAATAGAATGACTTGGAGGAGAGTGTATAAATCTAGTGGAGGGAAGGCGGGGTAGGGGTCGGCTTAGGAAAGTTTGGAGGGAGGGGGAAAAGGAGGTTTTGTGTGTGAGGGGCTTGGACTTCCAGCATGCATGCGTGAGTGTGTGTTAGAAAGGAGTGAATGGAAACAAATGGTTTTTAGGACTTCATGTGCTGTTGGAGTATGAGCAAGGTAAACATTTATGAAGGGATTCAGAGAAACCAGCATTTTATAACTGTAGTGTAAACATGCCTCTAGCAAGACAGTGATGGAGTGAATGATGAAAGTTATTTTTTGGGCCCCCCTGCCTTGGTGGGAAATGGCCGATGTATTAATAAATAAAAAAATCAGTCAATCGGTATGACAAGTAGGTTATACTAAGTATGTGCACCTGAAGAAGAGAGGAGTGTAGAGGAGAGTGATATTGGGAGATATTAAGTGAGTGTTTAGTGAGTTTTGAAGCAATTGAAAGATTAATTGTGGTGCGAGACTTACATCCTGAAGTGGGAGAAATGGTTGTAGGGGCGCATTATGTTTGTGGTGTGAGGGGTAAATGATAATAGGAGGGCTTTGATTGAACTTTGTTTAGAAAGAGGTTTGGCAATAGGTAATACATATTTTAAGAAAAAGAGGATATGTAAATATAAATATATGAGATATGATATGGGGCATAATGAAAACAGTTTGTTTATGTATTGGTGGATATTAAGCAAGTGGTAATATCATGTTTTTTTGGCAGAATTCTTGTAATGGATTACCAGACATAAGTGAAAATCTAGAGATGGCAATACCAAATGGGTCTGCAATAATTCTTCCAGAGTCTCCTCAGTGTCACCTCACCTCTCATCAAATTGCCACAGAATTAGTCCATGATATAGTGAATCAAGCAGTCACAGGTAGGAACATATCATTATCTTGCTTGGAAGAAATTTCATGTGCCTTTCTGTCTATGAGGGGAAAAAAAAAAGAGAATATGCTTTCTTAATAATGGGCAGTATGCTTCTTTTTATGGGGGGGGGGGGGAGTGCAACAGCAAGGTCAGGTTATAGGTTGAGATGACTAAAATGTTTTTTGCAGTTTTCACATCTATTTTTGTTTTATTTTTATCCTTAAAAGTTAATCTAAATTTTCTTAAGGTTAACTCTATTGCATCATAGAAAATTCCTTCATTTACTCATGACTAAAATTGCCTTTTGTTTTCACAGTTGTATCTACAGAAGAAACCATTCTGAAGAATGGCTGTTTAGACAGTGTAAATGAATTGAACAACTTGGAAGCATTGCATATATCTGATGCAGCAGAGTCATCCTCCCCTGAAGCAGAGGACTGTGTGTCCACTCCTGGTGTGCCACAAGAGGATACAGGGCAGGAAGACATGTCACCGTTATCAACAGAGCACCGCAGTGACTCTGTGGCCTCCAACCTTCCTCTTACACCAACATCCATCACTAGAGTGCCCTCCCAGGTGGGTTTTCCTGTTATACTTTCATGTTGCTTCTTTTTTCCAGTTTCTGTGTCTATGTATGTTTTACAGTCATTACCTATTGTAATTACTGTACTTATTCAAGTTTGCGAGAGTTGAGCTCCAGCAAATGATTCTGCCTATTAACTTTCAGTGGACTGACATGATTGAGCCTTGTCATATATGTTATTGAACCCCTGAAGTGTAGAGTATGCTTAGTCATATACATTGAGATTGATTTTTTCATTTTTTATTTTGATGCATTTTCTGTGTAAAGGATCAGCTACATAGAGGTAAAGGGACAAGTGCAACTAATGTGACAATTTACTGTGGCAATGTTTCACTCTCCAGGAACATTGTCAAGTTTTCAGGAGCTTGACAAAGCTCTTGAAAACTGAAAAGTTGCCACAATAAAATGTTGCATTAGTTGCATATGTGCCCTTTTACCTAACATATTGTTGGTACGTGAGTGTGTTGGATAGGAGTGAATGGAGACAAATGGTTTTTGGGGCCTGATGAGCTGTTGGAGTGTGAGCAGGGTAATATTTAGTGGAGGGATTCAGGAAAACCAGTGATTTTAATGTATAGCTGGACTTGAGTATTGGAAATGGGAAGTACAATGCCTGCACTTTGAAGGAGGGGTTTGGGATATTCGCAGTTTGGAGAGATATGTTGTATATTTTTATATATGCTTCTAAACTGTTGTGCCTCTGCAAAGACAGTGATTATGTATGAGTGAAGTGAAAGTGTTGAATGATGATGAAAGTATTTTCTTTTGGGGGATTTTCTTTCTTTTTGGGCCACCCTGCCTAGGTGGGAGACGGCCAACTTGTTGAAAAAACAATTGTTGGTAATTCTACCAACATAATTACATAGAGGTAACAGCTTTTAAGGCATTTTAAATATTTTTTCCGAAGGCTCTTATATAGAGCTACACAAGCTAATTATTGAACACACTTCTGTTAAGTATATGGTAGAGTTAGAAGGGTTCAGCAGTATTTGAAGAGGAAGCATGGAAAAAAGGTGCAGGTGAAGAAAGAGGGAGGATTTATTTAAGATTATTTAATAAAAGTTTGTGTAGTGATATATCGTATAGTAGGAGAGGAAACCTTCAGTCTCTTTAATACATTCAAACTATAGCTGATTTGAAATCATTATCTCTATTAGTTTTTTTTTTTTTTTTTTTTTTTTTTTTTTTTTTTTTTTTTTTTTTTTTTACCAGTGTCATTTGTAGTTTGGGTTTTTGGTTTCAAAAAATTTCCTAATGTTCAGTCACCACTTTTTTTGCTTTTTTCCCTTTTATGCATACACACTTTTATTTCACTGAGAAAGTCCTTAATCTTGTTTTTATGTCTTTTCCCTAGAGCAAAACTATTGGTAGTTAATTTCCCCAATTTCTGTATAGTATAGTGAGCTTTTTGGGTGATCTTCAAATCTTTGAAAAGTATCTAATTGTCACACAATTTTAAAAAAGGAAAATTTAAATTTTTTGGGTTTGATACTTTTGTTTTGGCGCCTCTGCAAAAACATATTATATGTGAATGAGGTGAAAGTGTTTTTTTTTGGGTCACCTGCCTCGGTGGGAGGCTGACACTTTTAAAAAAAAAAGGTTCTTTTTTTCATGAGTAATTGATTGAAAAAACTTAGAGGGAATTAAATACTGTAGTGTGGTTATCTAGTTTTCATTTACAAGTTTGTTTTCAAATTAAAATTAAAAGTTTTTTTCTTAAGGATTACAATGCTGAGTTACGAATTTGGTTATTGTGTGGTTTCTGTAGAAAAATAAAAATTTTACAGAGGTCCACTAGAAACCTGATGGTAGGCTTTTCGGGCAGATTTAAAATTAATCTTAAGTTAAATATTAAAAAATTATGAGGTAAGTTGGATTAGGGCCCAAAGTGACAAAATACTAGTTGTGAGTTTAGCAATGTGAATGCTTTTTTTTTTGGCACTTACATAGTTTTAGTATTGGGTATCACAGGCCAAAATTATGACTAGTTAGATTCATTATTTTGGTTTGAGATTGATATTTCTGTTTATGGTCAAATGGGTGTGAGTGAAGTGTTAACCCCCAGGTGGTTTCTTTGTAAAGTTGACAGGGGTATCGGGAGAAAAGATGTTTTCTGAGGTAGTTTTGAAGGGTGATTGTGTCTGCAGTTTTAGAATTTTCGGGTTTGGGTGTTCAGATTTTGGGGCCCTTTTGAATACATTGAATTTTTGAAAAAGGTTTATCTGATACGGGGAATGTCATAGAGATGTTTGTGTCGGGTGTTGTCCCTGTGGGTTCTTCACAACTATCAAGAAAGCTTTTTTAGGTCAAGGTTAATATTGGAATTTAGGTCCTGTAGATGTAGTTTGCACAGTATAAGTGGGATGTATGAACGGGGAGTAAGTTTAGATTATGAAGAGTGGGGGGGGGGTTTTGCCAGGGAGGGGTTTTGTGATTATTCTTATGCGGCTTTTTTTTGGGTTATTTTGGCTTTAGGTGTGTTGCTGCAGTTGAACCCCAAGCACAGATCCCATGGGTGAGGTATGGAATATAGTGAATGGATGTGTGAGAAGGGCAGTTTGCGGCACTTTTGTATCGTTCTTCGAGGGACCCAACCTTTTGGGGATACTTTTTTGGTTATGTGTTGGTATGGGTGCTAAAGTTGGGTTTGTTGTCGGGGTATGGCCTGGGAATTTGCCCTTTTTATCTGGCAATTAGGTTTTGTCGCTTAATGTTAATTTGCGCATCTCCTGCTCTGTACGAAACATAATGTAGTGGTTTTGCTTGTTAAGCGGTAAGTTTTTTGGTGCATCCAAGTCGTATTTGATCGCCCTTAAAACAATGGTTGAGGGTGGCAAGATTAGGGAAAGAGTGAATAAGTCGTGTCGTCAGCAAAGAGAATGGGTTTTAGGTGTTTAGATACGTTTGGAAGATCATTTATGTATATGAGGAAGAGCAGGGGACAAGGAACTTCCCCGCAGAAATCCAGTATCAGTGGCGGTGTTGTTGTTTTGTGTCTTTAATGGTGACATATTGATACCCTTTTTAGGTAAGATTTGAAATATGCAAGCGCATGGCCTCTTATACCCTAAGGTTTAAGTTTTGGGTGGTGCCCGGGGTTTCTGTGTCAAAAGCTTTTCTTGGGCAATAAAAATTCCTGTGGATATTCCTTATTTTCCAAAGCTGTGTAAAGCAGATTTTAGCATTTTTTGATTGATCATTAGTGCTTTTATTTTTCCCGAATCCAAATGGCAGGGGTTGGTTTGTTTTGAGCCGTTTTTAAATGAATATAGTCTCCTGTGACGAGTTTTCAAGTTTGGATAGCAATGGTAGTTTTTTTATTGGATAGTTGTTTAAATTGTAGGGTCACCACCTTTATGTATTTGGGGAAACCCTTGCCATCTTGAGTAGTTTCGGGAAGGTGCTAGTTTCTAGTGACTTGTTAAAAAGTAATGAGATAACATGCGAGAGGACATGGGCCGCTCTCTTGTACAATAATGGTGGGACATGAGACAGATTCCCTGAGTTATTTTTAACCCCTTCAGGGCCCAAGGCCAAATCTGAAGTGGTGCCCCGTGCCCAAGAATTTTCAAAAAAAAAATTTGTTATTTTTTCTTATGAAATGGTAGAGAATCTTTTTGTGAAGGTAATAAAACAAAAAGTACGAAATTTGATGGAAAATTGACGAAATTATGCTCTCGCGAATTTTGATGTGTCAGCGATATTTATGAATCGGCAATTTTTCCCGACTTTGACTCCCATTTTAGGCCAATTACATTATTCCAGTCAACCAATTCTTAGCTATTTCACTAGTATTATTCTGTTCTATCGATTGAGCACAAGAAATCGCCAAGTCAACTGGTTTCAACTACAAATTAAAGTGATCGGAAATTGTTAATTTGGCCAATTTAACCAAAGTTCAAATATTCCAATTTCAAAATAGGGTCCAGAATAAACAATGTAGGTATTCCTGGAACTAAACTAACATTTCCTCTGTTCATTAGTTACATTTTGAGGCTTTACAAATAAATTCCATTTTGATTTTTTTATTCACATAATGAATTTTTATTCACACCAAAAAATAGAGATTTACTGTTATGCAATACTGTAATAATTGTATAAATATCATCACCATATTTGTGAAAGCAATTTTTAGACCCATCAGCTGGCGTGTTAAATTTGACGTGTGAGGTCATTTGTTTTACTCTTGAATATCGGCAAAAATTTAACATTTCTGCTAGTTTGAGCTCAGTTTTTAAGCCATTTCCAGTGCTAAAACCCAAACAAAATATCTCTATTTCTGTAATATGTCTTCCATTCTATCAAATGAGACCAAGAAATCGTAAATACAACTATAAAAAACATACAAAAAAAACACTGCAAAGTCGCTGTTTTAATCGAAAAATCATGATTTCAGTTTTTTTCTCTCATTATACACAGTGTGCTGCAAGATCTGTTTTATGTGGTGCACACATACCACATAGATGTATTCTCTCATATCTAGGCCCAAATGTGCCACTCACAGTTTATCAGAGTGAGCTGAGCTCATGACGTAGATCTACGGTTTGGACCCTGAACGTAAAGCCGTAGATCTACGGGACGGACCCTGAAAGGGTTAAGTGACTTTATAATCTCAGTGATGATACGAGTGCTGTTATTATTGATTTATTTTTGCATATTTTCACAGGAGAGTATAAACACAATGACTGAAGGAGACACAGCCATGACAGCTAAACTCTCTCACACTCTCCAGAAAGATGCGTTCTTGGTATTTCGTTCCCTCTGCAAACTTTCCATGAAACCCTTGCCCGATTCTCCTGACCCAAGGTAAGTTGATGAGCAATACAGTCGTCCCAGCAAAGTCAAGGGCTTCCTTATTAGTGGATTAAGATTTTATAGCCAGTGAATGAGATTTATGCCAATATCTGAAGAAAAAATTTGTTGTGAAGACATAACTTTGTATTTTTTTGCAATTTTAAAATTTAGTGGACCTCTTGGCCTGTAAGCCCCACTTAATTTGTGGGGACACCGATGTGCTGTATAATGTTAGTTTTGTAACTATATTCTGTCTGAAATAATATTACTCTTAACCTGCTTTGGAAATCATAGCACCTGGTGAATCTCTATTATTTTTTGTATTTTTTTGTCTTGTATTAAAAATTACATTTGACCAAAGAAACTTAAGACAATAATTTAGCATCAGGTGTTTGTGTCAGCTTGTGTTGTCATTTCTCTCTCAAGTTTTTCTTTTATTTTTTGTTTTTGGTGGGGCCAGCTTATCTTGGTGGGAAATGGGTGATGAGCTAAAAAAAAAAAAAAAAATTCCATTTTGCAGATCTCATGAACTTCGGTCCAAGATCCTTTCCCTAGAGATGTTGCTATCAATTGTGCAGAATGCTGGCCGGGTTTTTCGTTCCAACGACACCTTCATCACAGCTATCAAACAGTACCTATGTGTAGCACTTAGCAAAAATGGTGTATCTCCAATTCCAGATGTGTTTCATCTCTCACTTGCCATTTTTGTTGCTCTCTTGTCAAACTTCAAGGCTCACCTTAAAATGCAAATTGAGGTAAGTTAACTTTTATTTCTTCTATTGTTTTTCTTTAGTAATAATGTACATTACCTGTACTATTATGCTAGGTATAAGGACACGAATGGATTTGATAGTAACAATGTACATTACCTGTATTATGTTAGGTAAAAGGACAAGAATGGATTTGATAGGTAAAAATAGGAGAGGAGAGTTATTAACCCTTAAACGGTCCAAACATATATATACGTTTTTTCAGCATCTGAAAGTATGTAAAAAAATGTAGATCTTTTTTTTTTGTTTTACATGTGAAAATGTGTAAAAAAACTTTTATCTACTTTTTTTTTGTTATATTTGAAAATATGTAAAAAAAAGTAGATCTACTTTTGTAGCACTACTAATTTGAACGTCGATCTGTTTGGACCGTTTAAGGGTTAAATGGAGAGTTAGAGGTATCGGGGAGATGGAGGGAATATTTTGAGGAATTATTAAATGTTGTTGAAGATAGGAAGCTATGATTTCGTATATAGGGCAAGGAGGAATAACATCTTGTAGGACTGAGGAAGAGCCAGTTATGAGTGTGGGGGAAGTTCGTGAGGCAGTGGGTAGAATGAAAGGGCGTAAAGCAGCTGGGATTGGTGGGATAAAGATAGAAATGTTAAAACCAGATGGGGATATAGTTTTGGAGTGATTGGTGCTTTTATTTTATAAATGTATGGAAGAGGAAAAGGTACCTAGGAATTGGCAGAGAGCATGCATAGTTCCTTTGTATAAAGGCAAAGGGGACAGAAGAGAGTGCAAAAATTATAGGGGAATAAGTCTGTTTAGTTTAGGTAGTGGGTTGGTAGACAGTAACCGCCCAAGGAGGTACTACCGTCCTGCCAAGTGAGTGTAAAACAAAAGCCTGTAATTGTTTTACATGATGGTAGGATTGCTGGTGTCCTTTTTTCTGTTTCATAAACATGCAAGGTTTCAAGTACGTCTTGCTACTTCTACTTACACTTAGGTCACACTACACATACATGTACAAGCATATATATACACACCCCTCTGGGTTTTCTTCTATTTTCTTACTAGTTCTTGTTCTTGTTTATTTCCTCTTATCTCCATGGGGAAGTGGAACAGAATTCTTCCTCTGTAAGTCATGCGTGTTGTAAGAGGTGACTAAAATGCCAGGAGCAAGGGGCTAGTAACCCCTTCTCCTGTATAAATTACTAAATTTAAAAAGAGAAACCTTCATTTTTCTTTTTGGGCCACCCTGCCTCGGTGGGATACGGCCGGTTTGTTGAAAGAAGAAAGAAGAAGTCTGTTTAGTATACCTGGCAAAGTGTATGGTAGAGTTGTTATTGAAAGAATTAAGAGTAAAATGGAGAGTAGGAAAGCTGATGAACAAAGAGGCTTTAGGAAGGGTTGGGGGTGTGTAGACCAGGTGTTTACAGTGAAACATATAGGTGAACAATATTTAGGTAAGGGTAAAGAAGTTTTTGTGGCATTTATGGATTTGGAAAAGACATATGACGGTGGATAGGGGGGCAATATGGCAAATGTTGCAAATGTATGGAATAGGAGGTAGGTTATTGAAAACAGTGAAGAGTTTTTACGAGGATAGCGAGGCTCAGGTTAGAGTATGTAGGAGAGAGTGAGATTATTTCCCAGTAAAAGTAGCCCTTAGACAAGGATGTATGATGTCGCAATGGTTGTTTGATATATTTATAGATGGGGTTGTAAGAGAAGTGAATGCTCGGTTGTTGGCAAGAGGTGTGGGGTTAAAAGATAAAGAATCTAACACAAAGTGGGAGTTGTCACAGTTGCTCTTTGCTGATGACACTGTGCTTTTGGGAGATTCTGAAGAGAAGTTGCAGAGGTTGGTGAATGTATTTGGAAGGGTATGTAAAAGAAGAAAATTAAAGTGAATATAGGAAAGAGTAAGGTGATGAGGATAAAAAAATTAGGTAACGAAAGACTGGATATCAGTTTGCAGGGAGAGAGTATGGAGGTGGTGAATGTATTCAGACATATGGGAGTGGACATCTCAGCAGATGGGTCTATGAAAGATGAGGTGAATCATAGAAATAACGAGGGGAAAAAGGTGAGTGGTGCACTGAGGAGTCTGTGAAGACAAAAAACTTTGTCTGTGGAAACAAAGAGGGGAATATATGAGAGTATAGTTATACCAATGCTCTTATATGGGTGTGAAGCATGGGTCTACCTGCCTGGAGGGTATTCCAGGGATCAACATTCCCATGGCCCATCCATAACCAGGCCTCTCGGGGTGGGGAATGTTGCAACAAGGAGAAGGCTGGAGGCAGTGGAGATGTCGTGTCTGAAGGCAATGTGTGGTGTAAATATAATGCAGAGAATTCATAGTTTGGAAATTAGGATGAGGTGCAGGATTACTAGAACTATTATTCAGAGGGCTGAGGAGGGGTTATTGAGGTGGTTCGGACATGTAGAGAGGTTGGAACAAAATAGAATGACTTCGAGAGTGTATAAATCTGCAGTGGAGGGAAGGCAGGGTTGGGGTTGGCCTACTAAAAGGTTGGCGGGAGGGGTTAAAGGAGCTTTTGTGTGCGAGGGGCTTGGACTTCCAGCAGGCATGCGTGAGCGTGTTAGAAAGGAGCGAATGGAAACAAATGGTTTTTAGGACTTAGACATGCTGTTGGAGTGTGAGCAAGGTAACATTTATGAAGGGATTCAGGGAAACCTGCAAGCTGGACTTGAGTCCTGAAGATGGGAAGTACAGTGTCTGCACTCTGAAGGAGGGGTGTTAATGTTGCAGTTTTATAACAGTAGTGTAAGCGTGCCTCTGGCAAGACAGTGACAGAGTGAATGATGGTGAAAGTTTTTCTTTTTTGGGCCACCCTACCTTGGTGGGAAATGGCTGATGTGTTAATAAAAATAAAAGGACACATCTGCAACTAATAAGACATTTTATGGTGGTAACGTTTTGTTGCCTCGATGGGGAAGTGGAACAGAATTCTTCCTCCGTAAGCCATGCGTGTTCTAAGAGGCGACTAAAATGCCGGGAGCAAGGGGCTAGTAACCCCTTCTCCTGTATATATTACTAAATTTAAAAAGAGAAACTTTAGTTTTTTCTTTTGGGCCACCCCGCCTCGGTGGGATATGGCTGGTATGGTGAAAGAAAGAAAGAACGTTTTGTTGCCACAATAAAATGTGGCATTAGTTGCAGATGTGTCTTTTTACCTAACACTTGTTTTTTTTTTCAATACACTGGCCGTATCCTACCAAGGCAAGGTGACCTGAAAAGAAAAACTTTTGTTTTTCTTTTCTTAAAATTTAATAATTTATACAGGAGAGGGGGTTTCTAGCCCCTTGCTCCCGGCATTTTAGTCTTCACCTACAACATGCATAGCTTATGGTGGAGAAATTCTTTTCCACTTCCCCATCGAGTTTACCTAACACATTGTCAGTATTTCTACCAATAGGTTAAGAAAGCCAAGGGAACAAATGGGTGTGAAGGCTTACTCAGCCCTGTAACAACTTCAGACAGTATTACCCAGGCTGGCTCCTCCTCAGGAAAATTAGTGAATAGAAAAAGAAATAATAACAGACAAACATAAACACTTTATTATGTAGAAAATATAAAATGTAAAACACTTAAATATGAAATATTAATCCTACATTAAAGAAAATGAAAAATGAAAAATATTAATGATAACTGAATTCAACGCTAATTTAAACCTTGGGTGTCTGGTGTTGGTGACACTGCTTGTTGAAATCGTAGCCGTTGCTGATGTGTGTGGGGGGGGGGGGTCGCAGGTGTTGGTGACCACCACTGGCTAGTTCTTCACAGAGAATCGCCGTGATTATTATCCCGATGACAGGAAAGCAGGTTCTTTACCGCTGCAATGATGTGGGGTTACGTCCTGCAATTTCATACAGGTGCACAGGTAGTTCAATACAAAATGGGACGTCTCCAGGACGTTAGTCCGTCTCCTGTTCTTCTCGTTGATTGACAGGTGACCCTCACTGTCATCCAAGCTGAAAAGATAGACAGGTTACCCACTGGTTAAATAATCACTCTCCATGGCAGTGTACAATACTCAAAAGACGTGGTGATTATTACAACAGTCAACCTAGAGCAAGACTGAAAGGACTAAGTTTATTATTGGTCAAAAGTGAAGCTTTTAACCAATAAATCCACTAGAATACAAAGCAGGCATGTACTTACAGTAGTGTTGGGAGCTGTGAGTCGAGTGATTTACTGTTTGACCAGAGCCCCACACGTCACCTTTCGAGGGGGGGGTGGAAGAGGAAGGGGAAGGGATAGCGGGAGCTAGACTGACCCTACGTTAACAAGCAGCCGGCAATCAAACTGTCACTTTAGGGGTGAGGGAGAAAAGGCAGGAAAAACGGGAGCGTGACTTACCCTACCTTAACTAGTAGCCGGCAATGAAACTATCACTTTCGGGGAGGGGGAAGAAAGGCCGGAGCTTGACTTACCCTACCTTAACTAGTAGCCGGTAATGAAACTATCGTTACTATATCTCTACTCCTATCTATTGAACTTTTCCCTCACACTCCCCCATACCAAGACTTATAGTCAAGGAGTATAAGAAGAATAGGCGAGGAAAATGTTCTAACATGTGGAAGTCGCGTAAGGCAACAAATCTTCTACTGACTGTCACGACTTAACCAGTCAGAGAAATAATTGGATGAACCATTGATATACACAATATGGAACTTAAAAGCCTGGAGTGCCAATGTCCACCTCAAGAGGCAACTGTTGGTTCCCTTAAAAGTTTCTAGGTATATCAAAGGTTTGTGGTCCGTTTCTAAAATGAATTCTTTTCCCAGCAAATAAAATTTAAGTTTGGAGATACCCCACACAAGGGCTAAACATTCCTTTTCTGTTGTGGAGTATCTTGTTTCTGCGGGAAGGAGTTTCCGGCTTAGGAAGCATACAGGGAAGAGAGTACCATCATGGTATTGTAGTAACACTGCACCTAAGCCCGTATTGGAGGCATCAGTTCTCAAACAAAATGTTTTATTAATATCTGGAATCTTAAGTATAGGGT